AATGGACGTTTCACCATTGTTGGCCAGGAATGGTCTCAATCTCCTGACCTCTGCGGATCCGCCGCCACCTCTCAGCCTCCACAAGTGCTGGGGACACAAACACACACACACAGCTGAAAGCTTTATGGCTTTCATAACTTAATTTTTATCGATTTTATTTCTTTATTTTGTTATATGTTTATTTGTCATTTTACGTTTTTTAGGGACAGTGTGCGTTGCTTGGTTGCCAGGCTGTGAGTGCAGTGGTGCAATCTGCTCCTTTTTGCACCCTTTCCAGCACAACATCAAGCAATCCTCTCTCTCAGCCAAACACTGGCAGTTACAGGCCATCGCCTGGCTTAAGTTTTTTGTACTGTTTAATGAGCATTTCGGTAACACCAGCGATTGCCAGGCTGGTCTCGAAATCCCTGACCTCCAAGTGGATTCCACCCGCCATCGGCGCCTCCAAAAGTCGCTGAGGATTCGAACAGGGTGTTCGAGCCACCCATAGCTTGAAAAAAAAAAAAAACCTCCAAAATGTACTCCCGAATACACTCATTATCTATGTTAAGTTCACTGTCCCCTCAACAGTTGCTAAAATCAGGGAAATAAAAAAATAAGTTACAAATATACAGCTGTCCCTTGGTATCTCTGGGAAATTGGTTCCCCCATAGACAGCAAAATCTGCAAACACTTAAAGTCCCTTATATAAAATGGTGCAGTATTTGCATACAACCTACGCAATCCTCCTGTATACTTTAAATCATCTCTAGATTACTTGTAACATTTAATACAATGTAAATGCAATATAAATAGCTTTTGTACTATATTGTTAAGGGAATAATAACAAGAATAAAAGTGTACATGTTCAACACAGATGCTTTTTTTCCCCCAAATATTTTTGATCTGCAGTTGGTTGAATCCATGAATGCAGAATCCACGGACAGAAAAGGCTGACTGTAATTAAAGCCTGATTTCAAAAGTCTGCTCACATAGTTATGACCATTCTGTATACCCAGTTTTATATTTTACATGCAACTTTTTTCAAATGAAATGCTTCAGTGTCTCATAAGGGGGTCTTCCATATTAAGAAACGGTAATAAACTGGCCAGGCACGGTGGCTCACGTCTGTATCACCTGAGGTCAGGAGTTCAAGACCCACCTGGCCAACATGGTGAAACCCCATCTCTACTAAAAATACCAAAAAAAAAAAAAAAAAAAATATCAGTTACTCTGCAAGCTTTTACAAAGA